TGCCACGAATAATGTGGTTACTATACAATTTAATATATGTAACTAGTGTAGTTAGCGCGTTTTGTTTAATTTCATGAGGAATAAAATTAACAAAGTTAAAAATATTTAACTCAAGAGTTTTCCTTAAAATTAAATTTAAAAAATAAAATATGGTGGTATGGTTACTTTGCCCATATTATATGAGCCATATGTGCATGTGCAATGTTACTACATACATATTTAGACATTTATAAATAGTACTTTGTAAATGAGTTATGAGACACCTTTTACTTCTTCACATTAACAGTTGGCAACCTTTTAACCAAATGTGCGTAAAGATTAACTGCCTCATTTCATTTACTAACTAGCTGATTCAGAACTATGTCAAGAATGACAAGGACAGGCAGCAGTGACCTCTACCGCTGATAAATAATAATAATTAAATTAAAAGTTTTTTTTTTAAATAAGAGGAGGATTTTAGGATTTTCGATCATTAGCATTTATAACTCAAAATTGCAAGAGGTTTTTTGAAAAATAAACAAATTTTCGAAAGATAACTTCAAATTATAATGTTGATATCAATTTTTCTTCCTCGCTATCGAAGATAGGAAGCTTTGTATTTATCAAAGAATTGAAAAAAAAAAAAATGTTTACTCAAACCTAAGTCTTTGCAATCGAGGAAAAAACATATTTCCGTATCTGCAGTCAAAACCAAGTAACAAGCATGACACCAGCTGGCGTTAATCTAATTTTGATGTAACTAAATGTTGTGAATTAATCCTGAAATGGTCGGATAGTATTTACTCCAGGTTTTAATTTTGAGGAGAGCTTCAACCCAAACCTTCAACCAAATATATATATATTTATATGTAGAGGTGTCCACAAGGGGATTTTATGTCGGGCACATTTTTACTGAATTTTGATTTTTTTAGGGGGGATGGGAGGCACATTTTGACAGGATTATGATTTTTCGTAGTGAAGAAGTTTCAATCCAGGAAACAAGGAGAAGAACATGGATCAGACAACCGCAAGTGTATTTGTATTGATCTACGATTTTTCTAATTCTACTTTCGCTTGTACTGTTTGCAAAAAGAGGAGAGCAAATAATTTCTTGGGAGGGAGGAGAAAGTTCATGCGCCATCGACCTTGGGGAGGGGCACTTTTAAACAACTCATTTCCAAGTTGCAGAGATATTTATAATAAATTGTCTCAGTTTTTGACAAATCTGATAAAATTCAGCGTTGGTTGACCGTCGGTTTAAACCTTACCACGTAAACAAATTATAAAGTTTATATGCTTTATTGACGGAAAATTTAACGTTCTTTAATTTTTTAAAGAGTACATTTTTCGCTTTAATGCATTGTTTAAGAGTTACAGGTGAAAAAACAAAGAAATATTCGAAAAATTTGACTTTTTTGGCTGTAAAAAGTTTTCCCTGGGTGGCCCACGTTAGAAATTTTGTTTTTTACATGTCTAAACCCATATTTACAAGATTAAAAAATAAACGCTTTTCTTGAAATTTTCGCAATGGATTTCCCGTTTCTATCCCCAAATTACTGGCATAATATTCTTTAAATCAGCCGCCATTTTTTAAAGAAGCGTCTCTGGAATGACAGACAAGGTTCTTTTTACTCAGAATAACGTAAACTTTCGTAATTTACAATCAAATCTTTGCCTGTGAAGAGGTCGATTTGTAGGTCCTAATTTCAATACGCTGTATTTTTGCTAATAATTGTCCAATTGCGATTTTCTTGTTTTTTCTTTTGTAGGGAATTAGTAATCTTTTATATAATCATGGACATAACCATAAGAGAAAAGTGTGTGGTTTTTGAGTAATTCGCAAATAAAGTTTCTTTTTTTTCATAACTTTTTTGCCTGAATTTTCTGGGTGATTGGACTGCTTCGCCCGCCTGAATGAGAAGGAAATCTTCAAAATTGGTGACTCAATCTTGTGGATTTGATGAAGAATGAACGATGACATGGCTTACCGACAAAAAACACCTTTGATAAACTCCTCCTCTCTCGATCATATGGATCTGAAGTTGAAGAAATGAGACATGTATTTCATGAAAGTTCTACAATTAACGTAGGATTGTGTGGATGAAATCCTACATCCTGGAACCCTATGTCCTGCATTTTCTCGAAAATATTACGTTTTAGGTCTTAAAAGCGCAGGGTCCGTTATTTCCGAAGGAACTATCCGGGTCTTGGTGTACGCATCAAAATCTTCAAAGCCCAATTTGTCCCGTATCGATCTACAAACCTACCACCGTTCCAGTATTGAAGCCTAGCAAAATGTTTATATCAACTTTAGATATTTTACAAAGAAAAAATAAAAGTGGAGAATACGATTCGCTAACCCCCCTGAAATTCTGAATCCATCGGTACCCCATTCATGGTATTTGAACATGACAGGATATTTGGTACAAAACCGATTTCGAGCCTTACTGTAATAATATATGTGGGGATAATAATTTTCATATCATAAACGAATTTTCGATAATGAACTGGAAGTTAGTCTGTCGGGTTATCCGCTGATTATTCTTTCTCTTAATTCTGTTTGATAGAATAAATAAAGTTTTCAATACTCCTCAATGGTCAGATTAATTTTTGATAAAATAACAAGTCTATAATAGTTAATAATTTATACCGCCCAACTAACAAAATGAGCGTCCATTAAATAATTTTGAAATAAACGTCCAGTGAATGAATGTACTTACAAAATAATTGATATGCAATTGCTAGCAAATGCTATATATTTTACTAAACAGAATCAGAAGATAGCATTATTTTTCTAAGAATTTCCATTGACAAGTTGTGGTGGAAATAGCAATGACTTACGCGATGTGTATTAGTCACTCCTGGCATTCATTTCTCAAACAATTTTGAGTCTCATTTTGATAAAGTTATAGGAATATCTAATATTACGTTATGATTTATGATTGGTGGGAGGATTGTCAGCACATGTTTTTCAAATGGATTATTGGGGAGTGGGTGGAAAGAAATTATAATATACAGCTTAAACTATTCCATTAATTGTTCTGCTTAACATCGAAAATTGACTAAATTTAAAATAGAAGCATTATCTCCAAATAAGTAAATATTACAAAATTATGTAATTTACATTTTCGATAAAAATAACAATAAAAAATATACCTCAAAGTATTTTTATTTTTACGTAAAATCAAAAACAGTGTAAGAGCATTCCACTGTTATGATTTTACCACTATAGTTTATTCAGCATTTGCAATTTTATTAATATATACATATATATTTAATTCTAAAAAAATTGTAAATAATTTTAATTTATTATTTTTTATTTAATTTGATTTTACTAAATTATACTGTATTACTTGCACATACATGTAATACGTCAGAATGATTTCAAATTACGAAATTTCTAATTATATAATTCACGTGATATAAGTGCATTATTTAATTTTTTTCGCCTTTATCGATTAATAAAAAAAATAAAGCAAACAATAATTGAACTGTGAACAAGTGATCTCAGGTTAAATTCCGCTAGCAGTACATTTCAGGAATTGACACAGTGACCTCACTTTTTATCTACTTGAATCCTAAATAAACCTCTAAATTCTTTTTGAAAAATCTCTCCAAGTATAAATTTTGGTGATGCCAGAAGTTTATACTTACAGTAACAATGTATTCATAATATTACCTAATTAGCCAAAACCATGGATTTATTTATTAAGTTTGATTTATTCCTTATGATTAACCTTGTAAAGAGTTTGAATTATCTGAATACATTTAAATGAATTAGTTATATAATGTCATTCTGACAAAGTTCTCACAGAATTCTTTACGAGTCATACATACATACATTATCAGAGATAATTATACAAAACTCAAGTATGTTTTTTTAAAAAAGAAAAAGGACAGAATCAATCGAATATAAGATGAATTATTTATTGACCATGAGCCATACTATTACTGATGATCAATGCACTAATAAATTAGACATAAGTATGCACTAAACAAACAAATTTGTAAAATATTGCGTATTCTAATAAATCATTCACAATTAATAACTTTTATACACAAGAGAACGACCCTGAAGAAAAGGCAAAACAATGTATTTCATATTTTTTTTTAACCAAGAATGAAACTGATAAAGAAATATAAACCGTCTTACTTCAAAAGAAGCAGATAAGGTAAGAAAAACTCAGTATGTCTTTTATTTCAATATTAATCCATTAGTAATGTCATATTAATTCCATAAAATTTACATCAAATTGAAAAGTAAATAGAATATCGAATTCCACAATGAATTACATAAGTTGCATGTTGGTCAATGTTAATTATAGAATTCCAAAGGAAGGATGAGTAATTCTTTGATCGAGATCTTCAAAATGACATTAAATTAACCGTGAACCATTAATTTTTAACTTAAAATACTTGATAAAGTTTTATATCATAGCTTTCTTTTTTAAATATTTAATATCATAAATTATAATAGGCTGTTTTGGTTTCAATTAATAAAATGTTTAAGAACTAATCAATTCTCTATTATTTCCGGTACTTATAATATGAATTATATTTTGTAACAACAAATCATTTCAGTTACTCAAATGGATAAAACAGCTATTATATTTTTTAAAATAGCAATGAAAACAAACTTGAAACTCATTCATAAAAAGGAATATTATGCTTAACCAACAAACAATATTTATAAAACTGAATAATTCTGACCTTCATCTGATCCGAATAAAAGATAAGGCCATTTTTATTTCACATCACAATATATAGAAATATATATTTAATTAAATCAGAAGTAATCCCAAAAACTATTAAACTTTTAATTATTATCAAGCAAACTCATTTGTTTTAGATAAAAATTGAGAAGAAAAAAAATTCTCAAAAATTGATAGGGCACAAACCAATTTAGAAGAAATAACTAAAATTTTGAGATGGTGAACCTTATTCTACAATATAACAATCCTAAGATTATATTCAAATTATAGGAAATGTAGGACGGAAAATTAAAAAACATGTTTTCTTTTAATACAAAATAGAATTTATTTGGCATTCTGAACAAATAGGTAAACTGAATTAAATTCCTCTTAGCCACATAAACTTAAAACAAAATAAAAAGAAAAGAACAAACAAAAAAAGCTAATAGTCAACATGTCATTGAGACATCTTTTACTATCACACATACCACACTTTTAAATTTAAATTAATCTTTTCTACAAATAAGTAGAGAAAATAAAACCACATATATATTCAGTAAATAATTTAAAATACATAACATTTTGTATAATAATATTGCACAGAAAGAATAGAGAGGGCTTCAGTAAGAGTTAAATTTATATAAAGACGAATGATTCAGTTTACAAAGTGGCAATAAAAAGAAACAAAAATAAATAAATAAAATAGCAGTTCAACGATACTTTTGCCTTCCAAGTATATATAATATATAATTTAAGCAATAAAATTAAGATTACAAAATGTAAAAGAACACTATTGCTTTACTATGACTAGGTTACTGTAGATAGGAATAATATACATGATTCGTTACACTAACCAGGCAATATAATCCAATCGTAATATAAATATATGAGCATTCTTCTAACATTTTTGTACTAGAAGTAACAAACATAAGGTATGATATGTAAAACCTTTTAAGAAAAGACTGCACACCATGATGCCTCTAGTGTCAAAAGGAAAGACATATTGCATTTTAATATTTTACCTCCACTGAGAATGTTAACGTTATGCAGATATATCACAATAATTCAATAAACGAAATATATTTATAATCATTATAAATATCACTCACACAAGCTTGTGAATTTCAAATTCAAACTAAACATGGATCAACACTGGGAGTCACTGCACAGAGACGGTTCTGAGCATTTAACATTGTTAGTTATCAAACAGACGCACCTATATCACTCTGATAACGTTTTGTAAGGTAGTTAGCAGCGGCTGCCATGTGGTTGAGTGACCTATGGAGACCGTAAAGGTGTCGCCTGAAGCTCTCTTCAATCTTATTTATATAGTCTGGTTTTGCTTCGGACTCTCCTTCGATTCCTGAGTCGTTCTCATTCCCTGTTTCAGAATCGGTATCACTCAGGGATTGAGAGGAAGAAAGTGAAGCTATTGACGGCCGCCTCACATGGGTTTTAGGGGTGGCTGAAGAGGATGATATCGTCATCTCATCATCATCATCGGGACTGCCCTTATTGTTACCCCACAATAATTCGTTCTTAACACAATTCACCATGTTGTACAAACGAAACAGATCTGTTGAGCTTAAGTTGTCCCTTTCTGAACCTTTTTTCGACTGGGACTTGAGACCTGCAGTGTCTTCTGAATCGCCAACTTCTAGGTCCATAAGCCTTGAAGGCACTAAAATTGTTTCATCCATTTCCTGAACAGCTTGGACAAATTTTTCCATTGCCTTCATAATGCTTTGGGATGAAAACTCAGCTTCTTGGTGTGGAACACGTCTGTAATTCCTATAAAAGAAAAGAAAAGAAAAATCACTTTGAGAACTAATAGAACTTAAAACTAAAAATAAAGGGAGAGAAGTAGTGTGATTTTATTTAATAATTTAATGAATAATAAGGAACAACTATCTCTTAAATATTCAATATATAAGATTTTATTAATAATGTTGGCATAACATTAATAATTAGTTTAATTGGTGTAATTATTGGCAATGGACGTGATTTTAAATTCCATTTTCAATTAAAAAGTAATTAATAAAGCAACATTTGTGCTTGATGTTTCAACCTTTTAAAACATAGACAGAATTAAAGGAGGATTTAATTAATTTTTACAATCTAATAGTATTATTTTTAACTTTTAAAACGTTACTTAAAATCACAAACTGAGAAAACAATTTTTACATTCTTATTCCTCTCCAGGTGGAAAGCTATGTTGAAAACCTTAGGGTCAGTTGCATAACCCAGTTGAGGTAAGTCTGCAACCAGGCATTTGGCCTCAAAACATTAAGATTCAACAAGGATAACTACTAATTAAATTATGAAACACGAAACATATAAAGTTTAAAATTGAAACCACAAAAATGAATTTTAGGTTACCACGCCCATAACCATATTATAGCCTTACGACGACCGCCTACTACAGTATTCGAAATAGAATATTTAAAAATTTGATTATTAATTGGATATTTATATTCGAGAAACAGAAAAATAAACTGAGGAAAAAACTCAATTCGATTTAATAGGCATTGCCCAACCATTCCAACACGTCTTGTTGCTTTCACTTGTAAATTGTGTCACAGATATTTTTCAAGTTATAATAAAATTAATTAATATCAGTAAATGGATGACTGAATAATACCACTACACTTTATATTGTTGAATTTTAATGAAATTTTATATTAAGATTTTTAAATAGTAAAAATTATCTTAGAATTCCAAGAAAGTGATATAAAATTGACTATTTGCCAAATATTTGCGAGTAATGTATATTTTCTGGAACACAAAAGTATTATGATCCGATTACTTTAACAAAACTTAAATTTGGTTATTTTTTAAAATTTAATTAAAGGGAAACTAATATTTAAAATTATGCCAATTCGTACTATCACTGAGGGAGGATATCACTGATAAAACTATGAAAATTTAGAACTATAAAAAATTTTTGAATTTACCTGTTAGAATCCATTGCTAGGTTGAAGGTTTCAGCTGAAGAAAACATAGATGCCGTATTCTTAAATTCGTGTGTCAACATTCCCACTATAAGGACATGCTCTACTGAGAAGACACGGTACAACTGTGACGGCGACCGAACTGAGACTGGCAATTGCTTCTAACAGCTGACCAGTTAACCGCCATCCCTACCACTCCTCTTTTATCCAGCTCTTCTCCTTCTACCTCGATTGCCCTTGGCAAACCTTTTTACACAGCGTCTTCGCAACGCAGCTATTTTTTTCTCTGATGCTCCTAACTTATTTTACGACCATTTGCATTTTTCCCGTCCCCGGGCGAGGTTCGTCCGCTCGGAGGCGATACTTTTCGTAGTTCCCGCCCCAGGATCACGCCACCCCCAGGCTCGAATCTCATTGGTCCTTGACCCGGCGCATGGTCGTCACCCCTTCTACTCGTGTACAGTTGAACAGTTGATACCTTTTTTTAATTTAAATCTCTTGAGCTTGATGAACTTTGCGCTATCGTGACCAGTTGTGGTATTTGAACGCATTTTAGAATATTGCGCTCAATAACTTTTTGTATTTATATTTCTCTGGACGCTCCTCCGTACGATGCGGCGAATGACGTCACCGAATGCAGGCTTTACTACCGTTCGACGTCACTTACTTAATTGTTGACGCCGAATGTTCGATTCATCGGGTGCCTTTACTCGGCGTGGAACACGTCCAAATTTTTGCTTTTAAAATTACAATACAGATCACGAACTATTTTGGCTTACTTCCTGCTATCCACTTTTATTTACAATGTATTAACTTTTAAAAATGGAGATAAAGTTGTTTGTTGAAATAGTGATAAATAATTAGGTCATACCGCCATTTATGCTGTTAATTTTAATTTTAATTAATTTTGTCGGCGTTGGCAGCTAAACATGTTTAGAAATTTCACGAACTATGGGATACACAATTATCTAACTTGGCTAATAGCAATATTAGCGCCAAGCCTAATTTGTTTGTATTTCTCTTATTAACAACATCAGATGGGAAATATCCAAAACAAAAAACAAAAACACTAGCATAGGGGAATTGTTTTTAAATTTTTGTGTTTCCCATAATTTGTAAAATGTCTAAACGCACCTTTACGAAGGACTAACAAAATTTATGAAAATACAGTTTATTATTCAATGTTTCAACCTTTTAAAAAATAAGAATAATTTAAGAAATATATAATTATATTTCACAAACAACTAGACTGTAATAACATTATGGAAAACCACAATCTCAGAAAACACTTTTGAAATTCTTTTTCCTCTCCAGATGGATTAATTTTAAGTTTTTACTCCTATGTTCCTGTCAAAACAACATACTTGGTTCGAAACGTCGGCAAACTTAATAAACAACATTCTTAACGGCATTTCCTGATTTTCTTTCATCCTCATAATTTATTTTTTTCTATGATTATTTATTGTTTTTCGCTACTTCCTTAACTGCAGATCGATGTTAATTTTTAAAAATTGTATATTTTTCTTGTAGTTACTTAGTAACACATTTAGTTTATGAATATCAAAAATATTTATTTACTTTTTCAAAATTTTATTCTGTTTTGTTTTGTTCATATAGATACATATGAACTCTTAAACATTGATCGGTTTATACATTAAGGATTTGTATAACTATTCATCACTAATCTCATACACAGTAAAAAAAAAATTAAAAAAATGTTCACAATACGTTTTTAAAAATTTTTATATTTGAATTAACCTTAATTCAAACCTTAAAAAAATAGGAGGATTGGCCATTTAATACAAAACATGTATATGAGTTGAACATATATATGAACTTCCCGTATCATCTGCACACGTCCTGTGGATGATATGTAGACATGTTGGTCATACCCAAATAAGACCTATGACCTATGATTAAGATCGGATTTTCACACTTGTATCGTGACCCAAAACTCAAAACATTTTTTTTTTTATTCGAGGAATATAAAACTTATAAGAAAAGACTTATGTAACAGTCATTTATTAAAATTTATTTTTCATTCTCGTGATGTACAAACCATTCTCATTTGAGCGCAGAAAATAATAAAGTCGATGAAATGAAATAAAATAAATTCAGGAATAAAATAAATTCAGGAATAAAATAAATTCAGGAATGACTATAAAAAAATAGCATTAACGACATTTCGCTTTCAAAAACATTACCACTGATTAATTATAGCTCTTGGAGACCACGAGACTGTGTTGTTCAGAACAGATTTGTGTTTTGCTTATATGTAATATATATATATATATATATATATATATATATATATAGAGAGAGAGAGAGAGAGGGAGGGAGGAGGCATTGATAGTTACTCTCATTATTTTGTAAGATAAAGAAGTAAGCAATACATTCATTTAAAATTATATATTTTTTTTTAATATACTCTTATTCTAGAAAAAATAGTGTTCTAATTATTTAAGGTTATTAGCATATGATTTATATTATCTGGCGCATAATATCTTGCCCTATTATTAGCATATAAATCTAACGTTAATATATGTATATTAGCATATCTAATTGTTTGAATATACTGAATTATTACACCAATTACAGAATGTTTTATTAATGTAGCATTAATGCTGCGGTAACTTTCAGTTTGAACTTAAGGTTAATAGATTCAAACAATAACAAAAAAAAAAATGAGAACAATAATTTGATTACAAAGTTATGTCTTTTTAATTTTTGATGTTACCAAAAACTGGTATTTTAAAAACTTTTTTTTTTGTAGGAAATTTCTTAAGAGGTATTTCTAGTCTTAGAATTAAAAAAAAAAAGTCTTCGTTAATGCAATTATAGGAACTTCATACAAGGAACCGAATATCGTCAGCAATTATAAATATTCATTTTTTGAAATGATGATGCTTGTTTTTGATATGACGATAAAACAATGTGTGACATCCGAAGTTTCTAGGAATAAATTTAAATTCTCAATTAAATTCCTTAAGGTAATCATTAGAGAAAGAATAATTAAGAAAAAAAAATACCATTTCATTTAACACATCGAGTTTCCTCTTTGAAATCTTATTAATTCTTTGTTACTATTCTGATTATAATAGAGAATATTTTTTTATGAATAACTATGCAGGAAACTTTATTCAGTGCGAATATATTGTCAAGTGAATAATATTTTAAAGGCAATAAATCCCAATGAAAAGTAAGGTACCCATTTTATTAAGTCTGGATGCATAATAGGCCAAAGTCGAGTTTATTTAATCATCAACAATCTATTAATTGAAAAATAACAAACATTTCTTGGTTCTTATCGCTATCTGCTTTCAAAGAAGCCATTTTGCAACTAAATATTTTGATTCCTATCTTCAACAATAAAAGCATTACTTTGTAATTTTATAGCAACGAAATAAACAATAACTTCTTTATGGTTAGTGATAAGACAGCTTGACTGTTCATCTTATAATATCTAATTGCATTTCACCAGGGAATGATCACTTTCTATTATTTCAAGTACAGATCTTAAAGATAATCTCTTGATTAGATACAATATTAATAAAGAAAAATGAGAGTTTATTTTGTGATAACTTGAACATTTTCCTCTACTAAATCTAATGAAATATACAATAAATATGAGTGTTTATTTAAGTTTTTTCTTAATAATTATCAAGTAACATTCTTCAATTAATATATAATTAATCGTAGTATGGTTTAATTTTTGTTGTATGTTATCCTCTGCTAGCTTCATAAATTATATAGATGATTATTAGTTGCATTTTAATTATTTATATCAATCACTTCCTTGATATTTTAATTTATTATTTTTATTCTTTTTTTTTAATGGATCAAGAAAGTAGATATCTGATCGTTAGACTGATGGACTGACGAAATTTCATCAGAATTATTTTCTGTTAATATTCATAGGCAAACAATCTGCTGAACAGAGTACGGATGTACCATGATATCATCAAAATGCTATCAATGTCATTTTTTATTTATTATTATTATAATTTTTTTTTTATGGGTGGTGTGATATCAACATCATCACTTTTGTAACAATGGTTCCCAGCGAATCAAATGAATTCATTCCACAATCATTCGATGTCTTAAAAAATCAATCAACAATTTAATAAAATCGAAATCAAAGATTAATATGGACAGTTAAGGACAAATTGAAGAGTCCTTACTTATGATAGTGAAGTGTCTCGAGGAGACGAAAATAGAAAATTAAAATGCAATCGAGTACTTTCTAATTGCAGATAGAGAGAGAAACTATTAAGGGACACAACCTTAATATATTGGCTCAATAAATATTCATATTATGAAAATAACTTGACGTTATTGTTATTATAATTGTTCTCAATAATTTTCTATTTTATAGGTAGCAATATTTGTTTTTTCTTATGAGTGAGTACATTCTGGCTCACTGAGCGAATGTTCGTGCATTATTTAGATTCGAAATATATAAATATAAAACGACTGAACTCCAAATTGTTCGACCTATTATTATTATTACAATCATTTGTAATTCAATTTGTATGTTCAATGTTTTGACAAAGTTTGTTAAAATCATCGATTTCTATCATATTTCTAAACCGGATTCATAATTTTAGGAACTCATTCTGTGCAGAATTTAATGTTCTCTAATTTTTGAAATAGGAACGATTTAGGCAGGAAGTACTTAGAGATAGAAGTCTTGAAATTATAAATCTATATTTGAAAAAGTCCAAAATTATAATTTTTTTTTTTTTTTTTTTGGTATAATACCTGCAAACTTAGGTTACTTAAAATATAACATCAAATAAAATCATGCCAACATTTATTTCAATGAATGGTTTCCATAAGGTTCTGTTCTTTATCAATTTTATTTTAACTATTGATGTGCATAAACATGCGTGTTAATTGTTTACTGATGTCTTAGAAACTTATTATAAATCATAAGTTTTAAATCTCAATGCTGAAAAATTATGAGGAATAACAGAGTTTTTGTTTCTTTTGTTTTACTATTTTGTGTTTGGAATAGAAATAGTAGAATTTTGCTAATATATCTAAAAGGCGTATTCAATGAATTTCACTAAAGGTGGCCTATTAAATTTCTAAAATGAATTTGTCATTGTTCTTCTTAAAATTTAAAGACTGTTAAGATATTTGTTTGATTCATTAAGTTCTCCACACTCCAAATTACATTACTTTAATTAAAAAAACTTATTTTTTTAACAATTTCTTAGAGATATTTTCCTTCTTGGAATTAAATAAAAAGTCTTCCTCAAACTGAAACTTCATATAATGAACCAAATATCGCAAGCAATTATGAACGTTCATTCTAATTTTCTGAAATGAAGATGCTTGTGTCATTATGAGCCTTTCTGTTGACA